CACTCTTGTGTATTTATGTGTGTATTTTGGTCTACAAGATAGATAGATAGATAGATAGATAGATAGATAGATAGATAGATAGATAGATAGATAGATAGATAGATAGATAGATAGATAGATAGATCTGTGATTAATGAAGATGATGATGTTGATGATGATGATGATCTTCTCTTGTTGCTGCTACTGCTACTGATGATGATGATGATGATGATGATAAAAGGGTCGTGACGATAATGATGTTTTGGTTAACCTAAAGAAACATCAGTGAGGGTTTTAAAGAACCAAGCTTTAAACTTACTTGTTGTAAATAGAAATGTGAGACACTCTATATTTTTGTTCTCACAATTTTACTATCTGATTCTGGAACTTCACAGCACGGCACAGGTCGACACAAACCCAGAAGGGCGATGTCGACCTTTCGTGTTAAAATCAAAAGGTCAGTTAATAGAACAACCCTTACGATAAGATTAATTTTCCAGTGACAGATTCAATTTCAAACATTATTGCCTCAGTTATCTCCGCTGGCATCGTTAAAGCATTGCAAAGAATCAAAATTAACACAGGGACCCGCTCAACAAAATTGCTGTGTAAACAGATGTAGCCGAGGCGTCTCTGGTTGTTTTGGATGGACGGAAGACATGCACTTCGTATTACATCGTTTGTCAGCTTAGCATTCAAATTTCTTATTGATACAGCCGGAAGGAATAAACACTATTTTTTGGGTTAAGACAAAAAGTTTACGCAGCTCAAGTTTCATCCATCACTGCTCTTGATTAGTGAGCAAACTTAAAATGTTAGGAATAGACACTGCTCTGCTATGACTTTGCGCAACCAATGTAAATGTAAACATTATGTAATAACATTATTAGTAGAAATGCCATTGCCCTCGATTTCTTTTCATCTGCGGCTCTGCCAGGATTGTGGCAGAACCCGATAGATTGGGCTTTTTTCTATGAATGTGTGGGTGCTTTACGCCCATATTGACAATGCCACAATTAAGATCAATTCGTAGGCGTACTTCGATCCGCCTGTTTGAGCCAACCCAGACTGATAGGGGTACAACATACCAGAGGGAAGACGGAGATACAGGACAGAAATTCTGTCCTCAGAATCGAACGGAGGAGTCTTGTGTGCGACGGTGAAGCGCTAAACAGCTACACCACAGACACTGGTTTTTAAGTTTTTTCAAGAGGTTATAAAAGTTTACAGGGTCTCAAAATTTAGACCAATTAGCACTGTGTCGATAATTATCATTCTGGAAGTCACCGTGAAATCCTTATGAGTAGACAGCCCTTTTGTTGAGACAAGCACGGACTTTTGGTTTATTCTTTGTAATCGGGATACTTACTAAAATGTGTCCTTAGCTTCAACTAAAGGTGTATGTGTTCGTGTGTGCGTGTGTTTGTGTGTGTGTGTATTTGTGTGTCTCTGTGTGTGTGTGTGTGTGTGTGTGTGTGTGAGAGAGA